GAGAGAATACTGGATTATGTAAAGCCTCAATCTGTGTTATTGATGGGACCAATTTCTCTGTCCCAGTTGAGAATGATGGGAAATGCATTTAATATGAAAACCAGTATCACACAGTGGATAAAATATCAATTTGGACCAGGGAGACATATATTCAATTCTTGACTCATCCACTGAGATGATCTTTTAATGAGGGTAAAATTGAGCAGAACACTTTGATATATATGCCACCGACTATAGCTTAAATATTACTTTCATATTTTAGATAGACAGACAGACAGACAGACAGACAGCTAGACAGACGGTATATTCTAAAAGAGAGAGAAATTATTCTAATCCATGGTAGCAAATACATTCATAGGTTAATGAAACAAAGTAGACTAAAAACCGCTTACAGTGATTGCAATCAAACAAAATATGGCAACTCTTTGTTAAATTTCAGTTGACTGAACTGTTATCGGTAGTAGAAAGATGGTATTTTCATCCAACGTACTCTTATTCTTGCAACAAAGGAAAGCTATTTGTCAAAGGAGATTTTATCATATCTGAAGATTCAGCCTTGATTTCTCATACACACAGGAATTATTTAACTGCTAATAGGATGATTGTGCAGCTATTTATCATCATCTGCTTCAAAGCTACATCATCACCGCTATTTCCAAAATAAGTACGCTTTGCTGCATGGAGATGTATGTACTTCAAGAATGGGCAAAGGTAGCTCTTTATTTTTTTCCTTTTTTAAAGAAGATATTTTTCAGAAATTATACTCTTCTTATCTAATAAGTTCAATATACAAATTTCTCCCAAATTTTCATAACTAGAATCAAACTGGAGCAAAGAAAAAGCAGTATTATGGTCACTTGGAAATGCTAATAAAAGAGGAAATATGCCCTTTTACATACTTAAACTATGTAGGGTACAAGGCCGGATGATCTCAGGATGAGCTTCTTTATGCATCGTGTAACAAAACTGATATGTTGAACTCAGTCATGCTCACTCGCTTTTAACTATAACCATGATGAATGAGGCTACATTCATCAAAGGATTAATATGATGATTGCCAACTGCCACCAAGTCCTTCTTCCATAACCATTCATCTACTCTTTTGCCTACTGTACTCAGATTCCATCTCAACTATAGCCCTCACTTCTTTTATCATCTTCTCCTTTCCCAATCTTCAATCATTTTTCATCACGGTACTCTTCATTTTGTCCCACCATCTCCTAAAATCCTTTTCTCCCCAATTTATATTATCCTTAACTAATCCAGTCTGCCTCTAACAAGGGAGAAAATTGTTTTTATTCAACCGGAAGAGTTGAATAAAAAACAGAAATTATACTTGCTATGATGATTAACCAGACTTTCCACCCTTATCCCTTCAATAATTATAGGAAGGATTTCAATCCATCCTGAATTTCCTGCATTCAAACTTAGCATTCAATTCATTCCATTACACTGGCTCTCCTCCAATTGGTAGCTTCAGTGTATTGGTTGCTATGACTTTAGCTGTTGCTCCTATTTCAAAATGCAGATGGCATTCCATATCACTACACTGTAATTTGTTGAAGTTCATTAACCGCTTGCTTTAGGTGCTTTGATCAGTAATCACTTTGTCATGGTGGCATTATCACTCTTCTGCACCTGGCAGTCTCATGATGCTTGAAATGGTTTGGTGTTAATAGGAAAACAATTTTTAAATGATGCCAGTTCACCCCACCCCTTCAATTTTTAATTAGAGAAAAACTTTGCTTTCTTAACTCTCACACCTTGTGCTAAATAGCTTGCAACAAAATAATGCCAAGAAAAGAAACAAAAACACATCACAACCTCTATTAGAGAAAGGGGAATGTTCCATTCCTTGGTTTCAGCTATCAGCTTTTAAACCTCATGGGATTCAGACACAGGGAATGTTTTCCTACTAAAGCATTCAGAGTTAATGAATGGAAGCATAAACAGGGTTGCAAGTACAAGTAAGCTATACTGAAAATGGAAATCTGTGCCAAATCTGTGATTTATATTCACTTGTAGCATGGAGAACTTGTAATCTGTATTACAGTGCCTAAGAAAGGCTGGAGTTATAAATCAGTATATTCTCAAAATTTCAGCTTTTAAATAAAATCAATAGATGGTCTTTGGTTAACCACTATCTGCTCAGCAAACTCACCCATAATATGGTATAATTATTTTCCCCACCCAAAAAAGATGTCATTGATTTGGGGGAATGGGTGGAATTTGTGTAAAGTTTGGAGTGGTGGGACATTGTTGGAAGAAAAAAGTACAGCACATCAGTTCTTTTTTAGAGGGTTTATATAAAAAAAGCATCGGTTCCCAGTGAGGAAAGGCAGATATATCGAGATAATTTAGTTACTCTATTAAGTGCATTTGATTTTTTTTCTGTATATTCACATGTATCATCTTTTATTCAGTTATTTATGTGATGGATAGATTGATTGATTTAGGTCTTTGCTGAAGTGTATCCTATCTTTCATTCCTTTCAAACTGTATTCCCTCATTTTTTCTCCCAAGAACAAAGTAATTTGGGTTGAGACAGAGGGATGGGAACAAAATCACCCCGTGAGCTTCCACGGTTAAGATAGATGTGAACCTGGCTCTCCTTAATCCTAATACAATGCTTTAACTATAATGTCACATTGGCTCTATGAAGGGCATTCAGACAATATTTATCTTGACCGCTGAATTGCTAATTTAGGTTTAGCTTCTTGGATACCACCCTCCCAAAAACTAACCATTTAAGATTTACCAATACAGTCCCTACTCAGAAAATAAAATATAAAAGATTTCCTATTCTGCCTAGAGCTGTGTTTCTCAGCCTTTACAACTTTAGGATGTGTGGACTTCAACTGCCAAGAATTCCCCTGCCTGGCTGAAGGACAGTATGGATGTATCAGAGAGGCAACACAGGGTATTATTGGAAAGTATTTGGCTGGGGAAAGATCCGAGAAACTAAGAAAAATGATGAGAGATGAATATTAAAGAATAGGGGTTCATTTTGCTACATTTGAAATAACACTTCTGACCAACTTCAGAACACACTATTGCCCGGTTTCTTCAACCCAATTTTCAGATACAATGAACCATGTAATAACCATGCTGGCTGAGTTCAGACTACCCACTAAATTACCATGGTTTGCTAAATTTGTCTCTCATTTTATCATGCAAATAAAGCCACTGTATTATTGGAAATATTTTAGAAATACTTTTATAAGGTAGATCAACAGTATGAGACCCTGAGCTATGAAGAGAGCTTGGGTTATGAAGCACTTTATCATCAGAACTTCTGGAAACCGAATTAAGCAAGTTTGATTGCCAACGTCTCATTAATCTCTATTACACATCTATGTGTATTTCCAGGACTGTATATACTAAAAAAAAGCTCTCTAAAAAGCAGAATATCTGGTATCTTCTGAAAGCTAAAGTCTATAGCCAGCACTATATTCTAAATAGCATTAGATTTCAATGTACACACAGCCCTGAATATAAAGTACATGATTCTAGGTCAACAAACAGAATGCTTTGAAAGTTTCTTCCAATCTAAAGGTCCAATGGTAAATTCAGCCATAGATTGAGCAAGGAAAAGGCTTTATTTATTCTGTAGATGTCCAAGAGACAAATAATCTTTGCATCTACCTCAACTCCCTTATTAGATTAACCAGTGCTGCCATCCAAGAAGATAATAGACCTTTAGACAACTTTTTTTTTGGCCTGGGGTTACAATCCCTTTTGTACCCACAATGCACTAGGAAGCAGTTTTGATGATGTGTTGATTTCACTGAAAGGCCTTTCAGACCTTTTCTTGACCCTTTTGGTTTTATTGGGGTTAATTGCAAAATAATACATTAACACATTGCCATTTGCAGCACATAAAAAGGAAGACATTATCATGATTCTGTCATCACATACTGGAGGCTTGGTCTGGGGGAAGGGAATGCATGCGGACAACAGATTGTCCACCTCTGCCTAAGTAGCCAATTAACAACAACAACAAACAACAACAACATTTACTGTATATTAATGTTGCAGTGTTTGCAGTGAGATAAGTATTTTATATTACTACTCCCAGAAAAAAGTGTTTTATTCACTGTTGTCAGAATTGAACAACATGATTCATTAGCTAGAAACTGCAAGATGAAATATTAAGTTCATTTAACCCAATGTTAAGGTCCTAGATGACAAAATAATAAAATATTCTATTCTTGAGTTTTTATTCTCTCCCTCTCCCTCTCTCTCTCTCTCTGTTTAAATTCAAAGCAACAAACATACCATCATCCCAGAAAGACAGAATATTATTAACTTTCTTCTATTGAATCTCTTCCACAAAGCCTATTCATTCCTCCACTTCTCCCATCCAAAATTGATAACTGTAGATCCAATACTACAAAGATGCTAGTTAGGGAATAACAAGCAAGGCCCCATCGTCTATAAGGAGCTCAGATTATGAAGTGAAGTACATTTGCAGCCCTCAGAACAATATCAGATAATTAATCAGAATATTTTATTTTTGCAATATCTAGTAGCACTCTTCACTAGCACTTATGAAATTGTATTTTAAAATAATATTCTAGGCCTCTAAAAGCAGCATTGCTTTAACGGAAACTCTAAAATTCAAATTGATTATTCAAAAGATGCCTCATTTCATAATGTAATGTGTTTTATGCAAACATTGGGATGCTTTTATTTTGGGTTGTTTTAGAGTTTACCTTTATATTTTTTCTTTTGTACTTTAGCATATAAAATAATAAATATTTTTTTTAAAAAAAATAAGGGCCACATTACATCCAGCTTTTACTGTAACACAAATCTCATATTTTTATTGAATGTTCTGGACAATTTCTGGATCTCATAGTTTGCTTTGCTCTAAAATCTATAAAAATACATGCAAACTGAGAACATCTTATGGCACAATGGAAGACCAACATTTTACATAAATAGTAACTTGAGTTTTCTCATAGGAATAAAAAAGGAAATATCTGAATTTGACTTACCACAATTGGAACACCAATGTCTGGCCAAAGCAGATCTTCTGATGGAAGTTTGGGGGAATTCCAGACCACTACAACTTTATTTAAGTAAGGGAGACCATTGAGTCTCTCTAAGGAGTTCATTAAGACTTCTTCTCGCTCATAGGTTAACATGACTACTGTAAATTGCTCCCTGGGAACATTGCCACCCAATGAAGCTTGGAACTCCTTCCCAGAGCCACCAGCTCCACCACCAATAGGTCGAAATCCAGTGCCTGACCCTAAAAACTTGGCTTCTGAGGGTAGAACAGGATCAAAGGGTGTGTGTGGAAAGAGGTGGAAGGGACCAGGAGCTGAGTTCCAATTTCTGTAAATATCCATTGCTGTGAGAGTAAAATTGCGTAAATATTTAGGAGATGAGTAAGGTGGTTCCGTTTCTACTGGCCCCAAATCTAAATCCCCATTGTCTGCCATATTGGGATCTGTGCCAGCAGCTTTGCCAGAACGGTGAGGGATCTCCACCGCCATTTCCTCTCGAATGGGAACAGCTGGAATTTGGATTCGAGTCCTTATGACAGCCAAGACCGTGCTAAAAACACTGTCTGAAGTGGAAAAGTAGGTTTCCCATAAGAAGCGGCCCTGCCTCCTCATGGCCAAAAGGTCATTGTCAGAAATACTCCTCAGAAGGAAGTGCACTTCTGTAATACGTGGCTTTGGTATAATTAAGGCCGCCTCATTCCAGCGAATTACATCATGATACGGCAGTTGGACTTGCTCTCCAAGGATGACTGGAATAGCACCAACTTCTAGAGCCTCAAACAGTCTCATTGCACAGCCAGCAGAGATCATAAGATGGGTATCACCCGGGGTGATTATCAGTGCAAAAGTAGATAATTTCAGTAGCTGTAGTCTGTCTTCCCTTTCTCCACAAAGAGCCCACTCAGTGGGCAAACTTGCCTTTGGCTGATTCTTACATGTAAATTCCACCAAGACAAAGTCCAATTTGCTGTCTTGAACAGCCTTTAATGTGGTAATAATCCTATCATCATAGTCTGCTGGTGCATTTCCTTCCATTTCTTCCTCAAATGATCGTACTTCTTGTAAGCTGGATCGTAGAGATTCAACTTTCTCCCCTTGGAAACTGAATAAGTATTTTCTCTTTACTGGCACCTGGGGTGGGATCTCTAGGAAGTTGGGTTCAGACATGGCATGGACAAGAGGAGATACTACAATGTCAAAACCTGGACGATACTGTACATCATAAAAGGTAGACTGCGCAATCATGGCCCTTCCAGTACTGACATTATAAAGGAAGTTTTGAGTTTCTGACTTCCTGGATAAATTAATAATGAGATGGTTATGTCCATCTGTCCTCCAATATGGCAGAGCGTGCAACTGTTGTTCTAATTCAGTAGGTTTAGGCATTACAGGTTCCTGCATTTCCCCTACTAGGACAATGTAGAGACAGGCAATGTTTGCATTTTCAGTAACATATATGTTAGTTCTGACAGTGGATTCAAAGGCTTGCTTAATTAAAGGATCCAATGAGTTCCCAAAGTTAAACTGGTCACTGTTGTAGACATAAACTGGAAAACCAGAGGTTAGTGGACAACGTGAATAGTCAAAGCAATTATGCAGCCGGCAGTTTCTACTGGATTTTGGCATGGGAAAATTAGAGTCATCTTTGTCTGGTAGCAGTCGAATCGGCAGTGAAAGCTTGGGCTGGTTCTGAGCCATCAACTCTTTATATGAATGCTCTGTTTGACTGATAACATTCTTTAGTTGCAGAAGATCCTGCTTTGCATTCTCAATGCTTTTCTTGCAGGCTTCAATCTTGAGATTCAGCTTGGCAATCTCACTGTTTAATTCCTGCCGCTTAGCTTCCAACTGGAGCAGCTCTTCACTCACTGACTCTCGAATTCGGCATAAATCCTCAACATGCTTCACCTCACAAAGTTCGTTACCTATGCGGGGACCAAAGATGCGCTTGCCAGCATCATCTACATCATCTATGGTGGTTAAGTAGTAATGGGCAATGAGAGGAAAGAAGACCAGGATAATGAATAATGTGAAGCTAAGCCAAGTGAGTCGAATCCGACTGGACCATCGTAGCATCCAAGGTTGGCCTCCATTCCCTACTCCCCCATTCCGCAACATTGTATAGCCAGTCATGAGTCCCAAGGTTGGTGCCACACCTCTATCACGTGGGATCAGTAGCCATACCCAAAACAGTTTGTATCCCAGGATTTCCGGAAGGAAATATTATTGTGTCTGTTTGACAAAAAGCCAATAGAATGGAAATTTCATCTTCTTGTGATGAAGGATACAACTTCTGATTTGACGGGAACCAACAATCAGAAACACTTCTCTCAAGCTTCAATTAACTGGGTGTCGCAAGGCAAGAGAAAACAGGATTGACATGGCAATCAGAAGTCTTCTCTGGGCCAGATACACACAAAAGGAGCACTTCAAAGTTTACTCTTGTCCGCATTCTGAATTAGCATCCAGTAAACAAGGCAATCATGAAGAATCCCATGCTATCAGTATCCCTCGTCGTCGTCATGCTGCCGGTAGTCCATCAGCCTAAAAAACAACAAGGATATATCAGATCATATAAACAGTGAAGATTTCATTAGCCTCTGAAAACAGAACACATGTTTTTGAACAACAAAGCAGAAATAATAGCATACTGCTCTACATACTATCTTTACAAAACTATGCTGACCAGACATTATTTGGAAAATGTATCCGATGTTAGTGTCTTTGCTGTAGAGATTGTCTTTCTAATATAAAACTTACAAACATATAAATGCTGTATCTATGTCCATTCTTAGATCTATCTAGAAAGATGTGCTTTTTAATACTTTGGAATATAAAGCCAAGATGGACCTTGATATCTAGTCAACTTTAGTTATCTTTGGCAAAACATTAGAAACTTTATCACAATGGTTGAGCAAGAACAAATTTCAGAGTTTCCGAAGTAGAATTTAAGAACCAAATTAATAAATAGCTTTTATCTCCAAGTATCTCTTTTCTTATTCCTTTCTAGGCAAAAGTTTTCTGATGCAGGTTTCCATCATTGACATAAAGGCAAATGGATGAGGATAGGAGTTAGTTATACTTGAGAGAAAAAAATGTAATGAAAGGAGCAGATTTAAGAGGATGGAAGATTTTCCTCACATATCATGATTGGCTTACAGAATTTACTGCAAGACACGATGAAATAAAACATTTTTTTAAAAGGAATAACTAAGGGATGATGAAATGTCTGTTTGATGATATAGTCTCACATTTAAACAGAAAGAATATCTAAGTGATCTATTCTTGATGGTCCCCCTTCAGTGCTAGAAATCTCCCACCTTAGAGCACTCCAAATATATCAAACTACAACTTCTAGAATTCCCAGCCAGTATTGCCAATTATAAAATGTAGTTAAATAAATGCAGACAGATGCAAGCAAGGTCGCTTTGGTAGTTCACTAGCATTCAGGCCTGAACACCAGCCAGAAGTTTTATAATAGCATCTTTATTTGAGATTGGCTTTTAAATCACAAAAATTATGTGCCAAAGTTACAATTCTTCTTACTCAAAAATGAAGAAGTTTTTTTGCTTTGAATAGTACAAGAATGTGAAAACAAGATAAAAATATCAGCTGAATTGGATTAAATACCAGTGAAGTCATTTGCAAACATACTGCCCCATTCATTCACAGTGCCACCAATAAAGGGTATCAACACATATTTCACAAGGAAAAAGTGAGATACAGTGCTGCAAAAACAAAACAAAACAAAAACATTAGTTTCATTCTTGGTGGTGGCTTTTCATGGTCCTCAATTTAGTTACTACATGAGTGACAAAATAGTGGAGTACAGAAGTTTTATGTTTTTACCTTAGAACAGACATTCCCCTTATTGTAAGGAAGAAGGGGAAAATAAGTCATCCAAAATGATAGTTCCATCTGCAACTTTTAACAGCTGTAAAAATTGTGCAGTAAGACAATACAAAATGAGGCACAACTCTAGGAAGTCTTGTAAAAGGCTGTTACTGGAAACACCTCAGTGGCTGTGTCTCAATGCTAATATTCTGCCTGCCTCCAAACTTTATGCCTAAGTAAAAATTGATGTAGTTTCCTAGGTTTTCAAGGATTTATTATTTATTTTTTAGTTCCCAGTTATTTGGCCTTCAAAGATTCCAAAATCTAATTTAAAACTATAATACAGTGGTACCTCGGTACTCATCATTAATTGGTTCGGGGAGGTGCAATGAGTACCAAAAACTATAAGTACCAGACAAAGTGAGTCACAAGGTAGCCAACACTGATTAAATTCTAGCTTGTGTGTTGAGTACCAAGCAACAAGTACCGAGACAAAATTTTCACATCAAAATGCATTTAGTACCAAATTCAATGAGTTTCAAAGCAGTTGAGTACCAAGGTACTACTATAACTTAAAACAATTAATCAACCTGGAAATCCTATATTTGAAAGGTGGGAAAAATATTTGAAATAAGGGTTTCAATATTTCCCTACTCCTGCCAGAATATTTTGCTCAAATCTCTATTTTTGTGCTGTTTCCACACCCCAGACTGAGATAGAAGCAAATCTCCTTTTTTGCTTGCATTATTGTGGGCAAAAACAGCTTTTGTATTTTAAAATGCTTTTTGTGACTAATCTTGAGCAGAAAATCACAAAGCAAGAATTTAAAATGAACTCTTGGAGAATTTTCCAATTGTGAGATGCCAGATTTCATAATGCTGAGTTACAAGATGAGCCAAGATACTGTACGCAGCTTGCTTTGGAAGCAACAGTCCAAAAAAGTGACTGTTTGCTTTTCAAGAGGTTCATTTTTAGCTAGTAAAAGCTTTCTTGAAGCCATAAAAGGATAATGATGATCAAGAAAGAAAAATGGCTTAGATTTCTACTTCTAATATCATCTGAAATGAACAACATATATAAATGCTGAGCTTCAGCAAAAATACATTTTAATCATTACATGGATTTATTTAGCATGTGTCTATTAATACACTACAGATTCTAAAGTAATAGGCATCGTTATGGCTGAAAATATTTAGCTGTCATTGATATGGGGACTTCTCACCCTGCTATCTTGTCTCAGCATTCAAATAATAATAAATTGAACTAAAGCGTCATCCAAAAATAGAGTCCACGCTAGTATCTTTCTGTCTAAAATATATAATGGTGTGAAATTCTGAGGATCCAATATGTAACACAAACCTGTCATATATTTGCTTGCAATCACTTCATCATCCAGTGGTGTTGTGAACAATTCCACCTTGATATTTTTGCCTGAATTTATGTATGCCACTGTATTATGGACCAGTTATAATTTCTATGTGATCTTCAAAGGCAGCTCCATGTAGTGCATGTTGCAGTAATCGAACCAGGAAGTGACCAGGCCATGAATTTCTCTATTAATTTATTGGATCTTAGACCTGGAAATTCTTCAACTGACCAAATGATGTTCAACTGTCAACATCAGGTTTTACTTTTTAACCCAAGAACCTGGTTTGGAAAACTGATTTACCAAAATAACCCATTTCCCAAAAAGATGTACTATAATTTTGGGTAATATGGGACTCGGGAAATTAGTATTAGTTATGATATCCAGCATAGTTCTGTTTAATGAAAACCCAGTGATTCCCTAAGATTTCAGGCAGAGAAGGAAATTTCCATGCCTACCAAGTTTCTTTTTAACAGGAGACATCAAAGACTGAGGGATCTTCCAAAGATGCTCCTATGGGGGGGGGGGGGAGAACTAAAGCATGAGAATATCCACTACATCTCCAGCTCAGGCTAAGCTAACAATGGTGCTATGTTTAGAGATTGTTCTGCCACTCAAACAAATGTGTTGCATTTGAAATGGCATAGCCAATTACAGGTACATATTATATTATTACTATTATTACTATTATTACTATTATTATTATTATTATTATTATTATTATTATTATTATTATTATTATGGCTCATCGCACAGTCAGCCAGATGTTCAGACTGGATTTGACATTTTGTCTACCTATCGAGTCCTTACCCAGGACCTGGGATAGGCAGATGTGGATGTTTGATAGTATTACAGATATCGTCGCAGGATGGAAGCAGTTCCTAGTAAGGCCGCCTTTTGCAATTGACTAATAGTGAATTTGTCAATGCCAATGGTGTTCAAGTGGTGCTCCAGTTGTTTTGGGACTGCACCCAAGGCGCCTATTACTATTGGTACTACCTTTGCTTGCTTTTGCCACAGTCTTTCTATTTCTATTTGTAGGTCTCTGTATTTTGTTATCTTCTCCAGTTCTTTCTCGTCTATTCTGCTGTCTCCAGGCATCATCATCATCATCATCATCATCATCATCATCATCATCATCATCATCATCATCATCATCATCATTATTATTATTTAAATATATTACAGTCAACTCAAAGTAAAGAACATACTTGGTATTACTGCTTCCTCTTTTCCATACAATAATTAACCTGGGAGGTAGGTTAGGCTGAGAGAGAGGGACTGGCCCGAAGTCACCCAGCTGGCTTCCATGCCTAGGGCAGACCTAGAACTCACTGTCTGCTGCTTTCTAGCCCAGCAGCTTAACCACTACATCAAACTGGCTCTGTCTGAAAAACATCACCCAGAACAAATTGAACTATGGTAAGTATCAGCAAGGTACAAAAATGGCAACATTTCCTAGTTGTGATAAGTTCTACTTCCAGTTTTTGACAAAACATAATATCCTCCCATTTATGAATCACAGTAGCCAGTATTGAGAAAGTACAGATTTTAACACTGATAATAATCTATCACTGTTGTAACTATGATCTATAGATGGGTTTATCTACAAAAAAATAACTTTTGACTTTAGCAAAATTAGATGAGGTCATCTGCAGATAATTGATGGTTTTAAAATGGATCTATTTTATGTTTTTAATATTGCCTTTTTCTTCTAAGTCTGTCCTTGAGGTTTAATACATCTATTTCATACACCTGCAGTTACAAATTAAGCATTTAAGAATAGGGCATAAAGTCTGCACATTTATAAACCCTTTGAAAGGTAGTGGGGGAGGTTGTACATAACAGCAGTACTATAGAATAAATATCAGGAAAGATTTTTAAACTATCCTTTGAAAGCCAGAAGAGCTCCAAGGTTGCTAAAAGGGTGGTGAACTCTGCTGCTTCTATCTAGAAGCTATCTCAGCCCTTTACCCTTTCATTTTCTGCCTTGTT